TAATCCGGCATACACACGACAAACAAGGACAATAATATTCTTGCACGCTGTATTTAAAAGTTTTTAATAATAATAATAATAATAATAATAATAATGATAATCTCCTATAGGGCCTAAGTACCTTAATTTTCACCCGTCTCTACAGGATACAAAGCAGGAAACATAACATACAGACCCAGGCTTTCTTGAATCCAACCATCTTTGCCCATTCTTATCTTTACTTCCATTAATAATAATAATAATAATAATAATAATCATAATAATAATAAATGTCTTAGGGACATACAAAATATGTACTTACAAGTACAGCTCACACATTGCGAAGAGCTTTATCTATGTAAAATGTGTATGATCTTATTTTGGGTGTGCGGGATAAAAAAATGATCAGTAAAAAATGTCAAGAAGCCATTTCTGACCTTCGGTCTCTGGTTGGGACCCAGAAGGAAATGAGTATACAACAGAAATCAAAGAAAACAATAACAATAAATTCGGATTAAAAAATCCTGTAATTGATGACATATACATATATTTTTATTATAAAATTTTGAAATTAATGTCTACTGGTTTAGGCACCGAAAGTCTTTCTTAAAGCGAATGTGCCCATCGACATTTTTTTTTCAATAAAACGATCGATCCCTTGGTCAATAGACATTGATTCTACTGTTTACAAAGCAACGGAAACAATTGAAAAAAATGTACTTAGTAATTACAACGTTTATTATAATAAAAAAAATATGTGTGCATGTGTGTAATTGTTTGAAATTTGGTCGGTTTAGGGTGTAAATTGCTCAATATCGGAAATAGAGCAAAATATATGATGGGCAGATGATCTGTAAAGGTGTGAAAGTTATCGGGCAATATTGATTTTTTTTTTCCTGTCTACGCTGTTTCTTTCTTTCCTATTCTGTTGTTAATTGCATTTATTTAACCCGCGTTGTATTAAAAGTAAATAAGAAGCGAGTTGATCGCTTCTAACCAGAAATGAATTATTCAGATAAGACTAGTTACCGGAGATTAATTTTCAAAGCAGCACCTCCCGGGTGCGCTAATGGGCTAAATCAGTACATTCTATGTCAAAGAAAAAAAAAATTTAGAATTTTTGCATCGACATTTTTTTTTTTTTTGATCAGTTCACCCCAAGCAAGGCGATAATGACACTAAGACGCAAGAGGTTACTGGGATTGAAAGTGAATGAAAAAGATTTTAGAGGGAACTGGTAACCCAATTCTCAACAATAAACAAGGGATAAACCTCTACTCCTGTTCAAAAGACCGGGGAGGAGTAAAAACCGTACGATAGGCGAACCTATCTACTCCAGGCGCATTAATGTGATCCCCCCCGCCCCCCCAAAGGTCTTGTGCTACATTTCCTACCTGTGGGAGAAAGAATTAATTACCTGTATACATATATGTGTGTGTGCGCGTATATGTGTCTACGTGTGTGTATGTGTCCCTATGTGTGTGCGCGTGTGCGCATGCGTATCTGCGTTTGTGCACACATTTCTGCGTATGGGGATTTCCTCAGCGTATCTTAGATGCTGGCACAAGGTCGAAAGTATGGGGCACCCGGTGAGATTCGAACTCGCTATTTATTCAGTCGTAATTGATCTCGCGAGACAAGATTGCTAACATCACGTCGAAGTGCCAAAGTTTGTGTGTATGTGTATCCATGTGAGAGCGCGCACGCGCGTGTTTGTGTGTGTGTTTGTGTGTGTGTGTGTGTGTGTGTGTGTGTGTGTGTGTGTGTGTGTGTGTGTGTGTGTGCGCGCGCGCACAGGTGCAAATGAAATAGATACATATAAATATATGCACTGACCTTTTTGGGGTGTTCATCTCGCGTAACTTTCCTTTTTACACAACAGAAGTCATTTTATGTAATCCGTAAAATGTTCTGGGCCTTTCTTTGTTTTTCCTCTCCTTTTTTCTTTTTACTTTTTTTTTTTTTTTTTTTTTGACGTCGGCGGGAAAGAGAGATGTTCCTCAGTAAAGTTTCCTTGTTTTTTTGTTACAATAAAAAAAAAAAGCAACAGGTATTTTCCCCCCGTTACTTTCAGTTTTCTCGACTTTAAAAAAATAAATAAATATATAAATATATATACATATATATATATATATATATATAAATATATATTTATGTCTACATATCTATCTATCTATCTATCTATTTCTATATAGATAGATAGACAGATATAGATAGATATAATATATTAAATAACCGTAAAAAAGTCGAAACAAAAGGACTTAAAAAACAAAAAAAAAAAGAAGCAAAAACAACAACAACCACAAATAGGGGTTCCTCTTGAAGTTGAAAACTATGACCAATTCCTCACACCAGCCACTGAAGACACTAAATTCAGAAATCAAATTTTTAGCCGCTACGGTCAGTGAGATGTGCCACGCCCAATATCAGTGCTGGCCTACTGGCTACTAAACAGTCGGATTCATTTCTCCACGAGATTTTTAGACTGACAGACCGTCATTCCTTCTTTCAAATCAACGTAAAGCTCTTGTCTTTAAGGAATTTCATTTGCTTCCCATATATTTTTTGACTCACAGACAGACTTAGTAATTGTAAAATTAGTTTGTTAAAACCGAAATTCTTTAGTTGCAACGCTTACACGTACTGACAAAACGACCATACCTGTGTATATATATCAAATAGTACATAGGTGTATGTAAGCATCGGACGGGTTAGTTACAATTGATTTTTTTTTTTGTTTGTTTGTTTTTTGCTTTTACTTTTTAAATGTTTTTAATGACGTGCGACATTTTTCTTTGTGATTTTTGTTTCCAACTCTGTTTTAAATGAAAAAAAGTCACAAAACGAAAGAGAGGCTTTTAAATTAAAGTAATAATTGAAATTGTTACGATCGAACTGCATGTGTCGTATTCAATGCTGGGTTTAAAAGTCTCGTTTTACAGGTGAGGGCGATTATTACTCTGGTTTGGTAGAAAATTGTTTTCACTCGTGTTTACGAATCCGACTGGGCCTAAAACAAAATGAAATAATCGCAAGCACACACACGCGCACATTCTTTGTATACACACAGATGTGCACACAAACAGACGCATACACACGCACGCACACACTGCAACAGCGAGTGGAGGAATTATTGCGTGGGAGGGGGAGAGAATGGAGTGAAGATAAATCAACTCTCTTTCTCTCTCTAGCAAAAGAAAAAAGAAAAGTTTACAAAACACAGGAGGAAGTCTGTAAGTCACAAAGCTAAACCCTTCTACGTCCGTTTTTTTTTTTTTTTATTTATACTTTTGTTTGTTTTTCTCTCGCTCAGATTAGTAACAAACGAAGAAGAGAAAGGAAGAATGAAAGAAAAAGCAAAGAGGAAAAGTAGACAAAAATAATGGTTGAGAATAAGGAATTCTCCCATTTTTGTACGCGTTTATAAATTTAGAAGAGGGAATAAAGCGTGTGTGTACTGTAAGATAAAGCTTGTGTACCTTTTTCAACGTGGAGGTACAAATATCTGTAAGCTTTCATTGTTATTTTAATGTCGTGTTTTATTTTTTTTATTTTTTTATTTTTTTCGTATTTTTAGATGGTTTATCCACTGTAAGACGATATAGATTAAATTATATACGTGTCATTTTTGTTTTCTTTTACCTTACTGCTAATTGCTTTTGGTTTTTTAATTGTTTTCTTCCCTTTTGTATTTACTCGTTATTAATAAGTATTTTATTACTTAATAATATCCTCGTTGTTCAGGGGAAAAATGAATCTGATTTTTCTTACAAAATAAAGTTTATACACGAGTTGTTAGCGGTTGTTACGATTAATAATACTGTGAGTATGTACATTTTTGTCCACAAGCGTTTGTCGGCTGCATTTTAAATTATTTGCACACGTTTTTAAAGTAACTTATTCTTACCTTCTTTTTAAGTTTTCACCGTCTACTTTCTTTTCTTTTTAATATAGTTTCTCGCTTCTCTGCGAAAGAATTACTTAATAAATCATTCGATTGTCGTGTTGCATACGTAAAACGAATTACTAATGCAGGCATATTTACTAAATAACAATTTTTCTTTCGGCCATTTGGTTATTTATTTCTTTTTCCTTCTTTCTAATTGTTTCTTTTTCTTTGGTGCAACAGCTTTTGAAGGGAGTAAAAAAAGAAAATAAATTTAAAAAAAGATCCCTTTCTTAGTTCTTATACGTATATATATATATATATATATATATATATATGTGTGTGTGTGTGCTCTCTCTCTCTCTCTCTCTTTCTTTCTCTCTTTCTCAGTTATGTTTTAAATGTTTGTATTTTAGTATTAGAAAGAGCTGAAAACAACCCTGATAGTGTTGATAACTAACTACAGCAGTTGTCAGTAAAAAAAAAAAAAGAATAAAGAAAAGGTAATAAGAAGCGACGTCAGTGGAGGCGGTGGAGGAGGCTACTAGGTGAGGAGCGGGTGGCAAGGTACTCGCAAGCGTTCACTCCGTGAACAGCTTTCCAACTGTTGCGTCTTTAATTTGTGTTCCCCCCCACTACCACCACCACACCGCCACGTTCTCCTCCTCCTTCTCCTCTTGTCCCTCCTCCTTCCTCACTTCTGTTTTTTTTTTTTCGAACTGATTTTTCAAAACTTTTTTGCATGACTTGCCTAGAGATCGATAAAATTCAATCGAATCTGTTTTGCAATTTGATTATTTTTTCCTCCTTCCATTTCTTCCTTCCTTCCTTTCCTATTATTTTTTGCTTGTTTTTTCTTTCTTGTTTTTTTCTTCTTTGTTAGTGTGTTTCTTTCTTTCTTTTTCTATTCTTGTTTTTTTAACTCTTACTTTTTTCTTTGTTTTTTTTTTTCTTTCCCTTTTTTTTATTGAAATCTTTTAATTTCTTTTCAAAATTTAATTTTTGTCTTTTTCTTTTTTATCTTTCTTTTTCGTACTTTTTCTTTCTCTCTTTCTATCAGTTCTGTTTTATTAATTTTTGTTTGCTCGTTTTATTTTTACTTTTTCTTTCTTTCTTCTTCCTTTCTTTCTTTTAGTCGCCCACTCTTTCACTTCTTTTTTATTCAATTCTTGTCCACACGTTTGCCGTTCTTTCTTTTTTCCTTTCTTTCTCTCTTTCTTTCTTTCTTTCTTTCTTTCTTCTCTCCCTCACTTCTTTCCTTCTTTCTTTCAATCCCTTTTTAATTATTTTAATTTTTGATAAAACCACTATCTGTCTTTCTTTCCTTTTTTCCTTTACGTTTTTCTTTTCTTTCTTTCTTTGTTTCTTATTGTAATACACACTCTTTAAATTCCTTTTTTATTTAACTCCTGTTTACACGTTTCTCTTTCTTTCTTTCTTTCTTTTTTCTTTCTTTCTTTCCCCTTCTCTTCTTTCCTTATTTCTTTCAATTCCTTTTAATCATTTTAATACTTGATAAAACCTTTTTCTCTCTTTCTTTCTTTCTGTCTGTCTTTCAACTTAACTAACACTTGACGACAGTTAATTCTCGACTCTAGATATTCATTCTTATTATTTTTAATTCGTGAGAAAACTTCGCCATTTTCATCGATTGACTGTTAAAACTAGTTGCACTTTTTACTGAAAAGAAAAAAGTGCTTTTTATACGTGGCTGTTTTGTTTCTCTCTCTCTCTCTCTCTCTCCCTTTCTCTTTTAGACCTACCCCCCTCTCGCCTTACTTTATAAAACTCGCTTTAGCGCAGTAGTTAATATACTTAGTCCGTGCTCCTTTGGTGAGTTCACCGTCCTGGGTAAGACGATAAACTACGTCCAGCAGCAAGGCCTCTGATCAGGAGGTTTTGAGGAGCGTGGAACCACCTCTTAATTGCTGGTGTTCCCTGGTTCCCCATGACCCGTGGTGGTAGCACCTGTTAGGGTCCCAATTATGGGTAAATAGTTAGCCCCCAAACTGAGGCCAAAACCCTATGAAAGCGTAAAAATACCAGAAATATTTTACATAAATTATTACCAGCAATAAATGTTTGTAGAAAAATTATTACCAACAAAAATCAGCAATAAAAATCTTGATTAAAACCCATTGAGGTGTTGATATGCCGTAAAACAAACCAAACCAAAACTTTAGTGAGTTCAATCCCCAATAGATGCCATACGACTGCTCACTCATAAATATCTGCAAGGAAAATATTTTCTTTTTCCTTACACGATATCTGTCCTCCTATATAGCAATGAATGCTGGAAGATCTCCTCAAAGATGTAGAAGAGACTTGAAGCAACAGAAATGTGGTTCTACAGAAGGATACTGAGGATAACATGGTCCGAACATGTGCGCAATGACGATTTTTTTTTTTTTTTATGAAAACGGAAACGAAAAGGAAACTTCTATTTAACATCACAAAGTGACAGCTGAAATGTCTGGGGCATATAATGAGGAAAGAGGGCTTGGAAAATCTGATACTCACAGGACAGATTGAGGGAAAGAAAGACAGAAGAAAACATCGTATAACATACTTGATGAGCTTAAGTAAATGGATGGCGGAACAGACAAAATTTATTAAGAGCTACAAAGGACATGAAGTTGTGGAGAACCATGATCAATTAATGAGGAAGACATATCATACTTGATGAACATAATCAAATGGATGGCGGAACAGGGTTTAGGAGAAATAACGAAAAGACAAAAAATATTAAGAGCTACAAAGGATAGGAAATAGTGGAGAGCCGTTATCGCCTACATCCTGAGAGTAAACGGAACATAAAGAAGTTCTAATAACTAAAACTCATGGCATCCTACTCGTTCAGCAGTGTCTACATGATCAGCTATATACATCTCTTTTCTACGATCAATGATTAAAAATGGCGTCTAGACAATGAAACCTTTAAATTTTAAGATGACAAAATAATTGCATTACTAAATAAGTTTATTTTTGTGTCCACTCGAAACCTTCAAAATTGTTTAAATATATGTTTAATTGTGTGTCTGTGTAAGTCTGTGTGCGTGCGTGAATGTCTGTGTAAATATCACGCAAATCCGTGATGCATAATGCATGCGGGCTTATCATATTTAGTTAACAGCATGTGTCTTATATCATGGCCAACTAACTTTCATATGGATGTTAGGCGTGGTGCTAAGTTCGTTCAGAAATATCTAATTTGCCAGCTGTATACAACCGTTTTCTCAGATCAATGGTGAAAAATCGCTTTGAGCGAATGAAGTCCGTAGATCATAGATCTACAGACTCCATTCTTCATCTACAGAATCCCTTCTTCGAACATCGTGGGCTGGTGCTACAGAATCCCAAATAAAGAACTGTAACAAATAACAGAAACCAAACCACTTGAGGACTTTCAACAGTTTCAAACAACTAAAATGGACAGCACTTGCAAATCTAAAGGAAAATAATGACATAATCATGATGCTGCCTTTCCACACCCTTTCAAGCAAAAGGTTAGGAAGGAAACCCCTATTAATACTGGAAAGAGCAATAACAGCTACTGGACTTGAGAAACCTATTCCCATGGATATTTGTTTTAATTGAAAGATACATTCCAATGCGAATACTATGGACCGAACATATAAGCAATGACGAGGTGTTTTTTTTAGCGAAAACAGAAACAAAAAGGAAAGTTATACTTAAGGAAGAGCCAGTTGAAATTTCTTCGGCACGTAACGAGAATGGGGGGCTTGGAAAATCTGATCACAGGACAGATTGAGGGCAAGTGGGACAATTGACTACTCGGTCAATGAATACCGAATGATTCCTTATCAAGAAACAGTTACTATTATCATGATCATTTGAGATGAGGAAAACAGATACTAAACATTGATCCTAGTCCGATGGGTCAGAGAGCGAAGAGACGATTAGCACTCTCTGCACCGTCTATTAATGCCGAATGTTTCCTTATAAGGAAACGGTTAATATTATCACTACCGTTACTAACTTGTATATCCAGCTTTAAAAATCAAATCAAAAACTAACTTTATTATTTATCTCCAATCTGGTATTTTCTGATGTTTATAAATTAGTATTATGTATTATGATTATTTACATTATTCGGACTGTTATCCTCATCTTCATTGCCATATTCACAATGTTTCGGTCTCTATATCTCTGAGATGAGGTATTATGAATACTTACATTATTTACATTATTCGGACTGTTATTCTCATCTTCATTGCCATATTCAAAATGTTTCGGCCTCTATATCTCTGAGATGAGGTATTATGATTACTTACATTATTTACATTATTCGGAATGTTATCCTCATCTTCATTGCCATATTCACAATGTTTCGGCCTCTATATCTCTGAGATGAGGTATTATGATTACTTACATTATTTACATTATTCGGACTGTTATCCTCATCTTCATTGCCATATTCACAATGTTTCGGCCTCTATATCTCTGAGATGAGGTATTATGATTACTTACATTATTTACATTATTCGGACTGTTATCCTCATCTTCATTGCCATATTCACAATGTTTCGGTCTATATATCTCTGAGATGAGGTATTATGATTACTTACATTATTTACATTATTCGGACTGTTATCCTCATCTTCATTGCCATATTCACAATGTTTCGGCCTCTATATCTCTGAGATGAGGTATTTGATTACTTACATTATTTACATTATTCGGACTGTTATCCTCATCTTCATTGCCATATTCACAATGTTTCGGTCTATATATATCTCTGAGATGAGGTATTATGATTACTTACATTATTTACATTATTCGGACTGTTATCCCTCATCTTCATTGCCATATTCACAATGTTTCGGCCTCTATATCTCTGAGATGAGGTATTATGATTACTTACATTATTTACATTATTCGGACTGTTATCCTCATCTTCATTGCCATATTCACAATGTTTCGGCCTCTATATCTCTGAGATGAGGTATTATGATTACTTACATTATTTACATTATTCGGACTGTTATCCTCATCTTCATTGCCATATTCACAATGTTTCGGCCTCTATATCTCTGAGATGAGGTATTATGATTACTTACATTATTTACATTATTCGGACTGTTATCCTCATCTTCATTGCCATATTCACAATGTTTCGGTCTATATATCTCTGAGATGAGGTATTATGATTACTTACATTATTTACATTATTCGGACTGTTATCCTCATCTTCATTGCCATATTCACAATGTTTCGGCCTCTATATCTCTGAGATGAGGTATTATGATTACTTACATTATTTACATTATTCGGACTGTTATCCTCATCTTCATTGCCATATTCACAATGTTTCGGCCTCTATATCTCTGAGATGAGGTATTATGATTACTTACATTATTTACATTATTCGGACTGTTATCCTCATCTTCATTGCCATATTCACAATGTTTCGGCCTCTATATCTCTGAGATGAGGTATTATGATTACTTACATTATTTACATTATTCGGACTGTTATCCCTCATCTTCATTGCCATATTCACAATGTTTCGGCCTCTATATCTCTGAGATGAGGTATTATTATTACATTATTTACATTATTCGGACTGTTATCCTCATCTTCATTGCCATATTCACAATGTTTCGGTCTATATATCTCTGAGATGAGGTATTATGATTACTTACATTATTTACATTATTCGGACTGTTATCCTCATCTTCATTGCCATATTCACAATGTTTCGGCCTCTATATCTCTGAGATGAGGTATTATGATTACTTACATTATTTACATTATTCGGACTGTTATCCTCATCTTCATTGCCATATTCACAATGTTTCGGCCTCTATATCTCTGAGATGAGGTATTATGATTACTTACATTATTTACATTATTCGACTGTTATCCTCATCTTCATTGCCATATTCACAATGTTTCTGGCCTCTATATCTCTGAGATGAGGTATTATGATTACTTACATTATTTACATTATTCGGACTGTTATCCTCATCTTCATTGCCATATTCACAATGTTTCGGTCTATATATCTCTGAGATGAGGTATTATGATTACTTACATTATTTACATTATTCGGACTGTTATCCCTCATCTTCATTGCCATATTCACAATGTTTCGGCCTCTATATCTCTGAGATGAGGTATTATGATTACTTACATTATTTACATTATTCGGACTGTTATCCTCATCTTCATTGCCATATTCACAATGTTTCGGCCTCTATATCTCTGAGATGAGGTATTATGATTACTTACATTATTTACATTATTCGGACTGTTATTCTCATCTTCATTGCCATATTCACAATGTTTCGGCCTCTATATCTCTGAGATGAGGTATTATGATTACTTACATTATTTACATTATTTGGACTG